TTTATTACGGGTGTATTACACGTTTCAACCCAGATACTCTGAATATGACTTTTATGTATTTTTAAAATACTATGTATTTTATGTATTTTTAAAATACTTTTATGTATTTAAAATACTATAAAATTATTTTTAAAAGTATTTTTGAAAAAAATAAATATGTTTGAGACAAGTCTAGCCTGTAGTCCAGGCTAGACTTGAACTCACAACGTAGCCTAGGCCGGTCTCAAACTCTTATCAATCCTCCTGTCTCAGCTTCCCAAGTGCTAGAATTACAGGCCTCGTAAAATTTTCTCTTTTAACAAAACTTTTGAACATACACAAAAGTAGATAAGAATTGTAACTATAACATTGTCTTTCTAGTGTAAAAAATATTAATAAAAAACTGAAAGAGTAATAGGATCCAAAATGTACAACAGATACTGTAATAATGAAAGGGAAAGAAAGCGCTCAAAAGAAAAGAACTGCTTGTAGGTATACACATATAATTGCATGTATGTTTAAGTGAACAAGATAGATAACCATACTCCTAATTCTCTGTTAGGTCATCAAAAAGAATAGTTTTGCCGTCATTCTATGATTGCCTGTTCATTTTTTGTGCTTAGATTTTGTAACTTGAACAACTACTTCTAAGATAACAATATATATTAACTAGTGTTGATTTCTTACTGTGAATTTTTTGAAATTCTTTATTATTTCTACCCTTTTTTGTTTTGTTTTTTAAAAATTGAAAAAAAAGTAGATAAGAATAATGAACGTATTATCTAGCATCAACAAAGTTCCACTTTTTTTCTTTGGTACCAGGATCAAACTCATGACCTCACACTTGCCAAGCAGGTACTTGTGCTACTGAGCTAAATCCCCAGCCCAAAAGCAAGGGTTTTTTGTTTTGTTTTGGTATTGGAGATTGAACTCATGACCTCATGCTTGCCAGGCAGGTGCTTAAGCTGCTGAGCTAAATCCCCAGCCCAGCAAATTTCTACTTTAAAAAAAATTCTTGCGTCATCTATTTCTCTTAGCCCCGCCTACTCAGCAACTCTTTGAAGAACTGGTTTGTTTTAAAATGAATCCCAGATATAATGGCATTTCAAACAAATATTTCATTTTGTATCTACAAATTTAAACATCCCTTTATTGCTTTTGTTTTTCAGACAAGGTCTCACTATGCAGTTCAGGCTGGCCTTGAACTCACTATGTAGCCTAGGCTGGCTTCAAAACTGGAGTGATCCTCCTGCCTCAGCCTTTCAAATACTGAGATTATAGGCATGTGACACCATGCCCAGTTCATGTCTTTACTATAGCTAATAAAATTAACAGTAATTTTGTAATATAATAATCTATATCCAAATTTTCCTGTTTGAAAACTGAATGTATATAGCTAGATTTTTAGGTGAATGTTTTTTAGCAAACAAAAAATAGCTTTTAGAGATGAGAAGGTGGCTTTCACCCTAAGCAGCTACATTAAAAAAAAAAAAATTAGCCCTAAATGTCATTTGTAATTATTCTCCCACTTGCAATTACATTATTTACTTTTCAAAACCCCCATAAATCTTATAAAGAAGCTACAGGTAAAATAAACTAAAAGCCATGCAAAGGTCCACCTAAGCATGTCCCTCAAAAACAACAGAATAAAAGGAATTACATTGGCAAAGATAATAATTTAACAAAAGAGAAATATGCAAAGGATGTGAGGCCAAAGGATTTTCCCCCTAAAAAGCCAAACCAACAGGACTTAGCCTGAGAGTGGGATCTATAAAGATGTTATATTGATGATGCTGGAGTTTACTTTTAAAATCAGTACTTCTCTTGAGTTCAGTTAAGAACTTGCAGTTTCTGAGGAACATAATGGCAGAAGCACATGAGAGACAAGTCCAGTTACTTCAGAATTATTCTCTTTTTAATAGTAAGTTCTGAGCCATGCTCTGTAGGTCAACAGTACTGTTCAAATTTCTCTCTGCCCATTTTTGAATCTTACTTCATCTCTGCCTTCTGCTTGTTGCAGCCCTTTTTGGGAACAGAGATTCCAGTCTCCACCATTGAATGGTCCACCATTCAATCCAATTCTGCTTTGTCCGTCAACATCATTTCCTTAGCTCCTGCTGGGTCTGTTATATTCAGATATGAATTTTCCAGGAACCTGATCATGTCACAGGCCTTTTCCTTTATGACAAGTTGAGGGCTAATCATGAATAGCAGGCTTTACACAGATGGTATTAGTCATGAAATCTATGACTCCGCATCCAAAAAGAAAGCAAAATTTGCCTAAGACAGGCAAGCTGTATCTCTGTTAAATCCACCAAGCAATTACCAACGCCTCTTATTGCAAAAAGCACAACAATTTTTCCTCAACTATATTAATCAGACATACCAGAAGCATCTGCCAGATGCAAGGTCTAAAGTTTGGCTTGATGGGGAGCCCAGTACCGACAGGGTGAATTAAAGGATTTTCTAAAGGACCAGAGCTAGACACAGTTTGTTCTCCATCCCACAGACTGAGTACTTCTGAGTTTGCATTCCCATCTTCTGCAAGTCTCCCTGCTCACACCAGCTGAGCAAGTATCAAAGGGCCACAAGAAATAAAAACAATACTTAATTTTCTGTTTCTGAGATAGTGAGGGATACTCAGCAAATATTACAAATTAGATATACTTGGTATTATTTTGCTATAATTCTCTCTTTTGGAATAGTTCAAATAACCATATGAATCAGCTATTATTGGTCCAAATTACATTTTAGAAATACAAGTTGAAGATTATCTTTCTGGATAAAAATGCTCAGACTGAAATCCCTCTTCACCATCCCCAGAAGAATGACACAGACTGGTAGTAAAAGACCATCTTTGTGTAGAACAAATGGACCGAGGAAAATCTGCTTTCCTCTCCCTTGCCTCTTTCTTCTTTATACAAGTAGAGCCAAATGAGATGTTTTTTCATTTTAAAAATTTGATTAAGCAGATTGAGCAAAAGCCCATTATTCTGGTCTTTGTAGTTTTCTCAATTTGGGGACTGAATTAAGGCACACTTGGGTTGGAAGGATGGTGAAGCTGGGCCTAGCTGCCAGGCGGTGGAGATGTTTGGAAGTTTGAGTTTACAGAAGCAAATACAGGACCTGCAGCACTGGTCCAGATGCCCACTCCCTCTTCCTCTCCCCCTCCCTCAGCCCTACCCACACCCTTTTTTTGTAAGTACTGGAAATCAAATCCAGGGCCCCTGTTGAGCTACATCCTCAGCTATTTTTAGGTTTTATTTTGCAAGAGGGTATTGCTAAGTCACTAAACCGTCCAGGCTGGACTCAAACTTATAAACTTCCTGCCTCAACTGACCTTTCTTTTTTTTTTTTTTTTTCCTTGAGGCATCAGATTTCAGAGGGTTGCTCTAGGCCAAAGCAAAAAGTCCTAGGTCCCACATAAACCTCTAAGTCACTCTGAACACACAAGCCCCATGAATCTGAGGGATACAAGTTAGCACAGCAAAAAGCAGGCTTAAGTAATAAAGAAAAAAAATAAGCTAAAAGTCTGGTTATAAATGAGCTGTCCTTTTCTTCAGCGTTACAAAGGGGGCCACTCTATTCCTTTGGCACATTTTAAAATATATTCTAGGGCTGGGTATGTAGTACAGACTGGCCTTGAACTCACTACGTAGCCCAGGCTGGTCTTGAACTCATGGCAATCCCCTCTTGACTCAGCCTCCCAAGTGCTGGTATTACTGGTCATGGGCCAACATGCCAGCCACATGTTTTATCTCTCTCTCTCTCTCTCTCTCTCTATATATATATATATATATATATATATATATATATATATATGAAATCTACATTAGTAACTTTGGGGATTGAACTCATGACTTCATACTTGCCAAGCAAGCATTTATGCACTGAGCTAAATCCCCAGCTACATTAGTAACTTTTTAATGCAGTCAACCTATTCAGGGCTTTGTATCTGTAAGTTCCATATCCACAGATTCAAGCAACCAAACTTAAAAATATTTGGGAAAAAAATAAAAAAGTCCTGCATGTACAGTAAACCTGTATAACTATTTTTCTTGTTTATTCCCTAAACAATACTTTATGACAACTATTTATACAGCATGTATACTCTATTAGATTTTATAACTAATCAAGAAACCATTTAAAACATACAGGAAAATGTGCCAAGGTTCAGTGCAAACACTATTCCATTTACACAAAGGACTTGAGCATCCTCAAATTTTGGTGCCAATGGGGATCCTTAAAGAGATCCCTCTTGGATACCAATAGATAACTGTAGTATCAGACTTGGTTTTAGTTTCTATTCTTAAAGGTTTCCTAAAACCTCTCCAAAATATTTTCTACCTTGTTTTAAAGTATTTTTTTAAAGAGTTCCTCTACCTCATATACTCTCTGAGGACCAGGTATCCTTTTGCCTTTTTACTTTCCACATATTGAATACAGGAGTGAATGAAACTGAAATCAGATCTCCTGGTAAAAGACTAAAGAAACTGGATTGCTTATTACCATTTAAAATACTATCCTTTACGCTAATGTGGATAAAAGAACTACCATATGGGCTATATGATATTTAACAAGGTTTTTTTTTTTAACCAAGTATCATTTTTCATGGGAGCTGTTCAAAGCTAAGACTAAATAGCATTAATTTCACTGTGCTGAAACAGGTTCATTCCAAATATCCATCCCCCTCCCAAAAAAAGTAAAGAACACCTTTTCTCCCCCAATAGCTTGCTACTGAGCTGTTACCCTCTCTAGCTATAAAGCATCAGCATGAGAAAATTTAACAAAAAGTAGAAATTTCAGTTGCCTTATCCATCTGAAAAACACTCACTGAATGGGGTACGGAAGAAATGAGTACTGGTATTCTTGAAAAGTCTCAAGAAATGAACTGAAAATCCTTAGACCAATGGCTTCTCCTTGCACCTACTCATGAAATCCTTGGGCCTGAACTACCTGGCCTCTGGTGGAGGACCCTAGTGCTCGGGTCCTGTAAACCATCAGATAAGCAGAAGTCTTACTCTGACAGGCAGGAATCTCGCAGTACTTCCAGTACACCCCGTCCTCATGCTCTGCCACGTAACACCAGGGGCTCACATCTCCATCTGGGTTTCTGTTGGGGACAAAAACACAATCAATGACACTGCTAATGTTCAAGTAAGCGCAGAGCTTTTCAGTTTTACATTAAAGGAATCAGGTTCAGTGTTATTTCTAATGATAGGTATATGTCTGAATGGCATCTCTTATCAAGAAAGAAAACACGGTAATGCTATGAGAACAAATCTTTCCACTCTGACATGTCCTTCAGTGGTTGGGGAGAAGTGAGCAAAGGTAGAAACAAATTCACTATGCTATGATGAGGATCACTAAAACAATCATGCCAGACGTTTGCCCACTACATTTGAACATGGAAATTCTGATAGCTGAATAAACAACAGATGTTTTCAACACTGCTGATGAGAATGTAAACCAGTACAAACATCCATGATGGCAGTGAATAATAAAAGCCAAAAACCCCCAAAAGATACAAATTCTCTGCTCAGTAATTTCCTCTTTTTTAAAAAAATTTTTTTATTTTAAAGAGATTAAGACAAAAGAGGACATAACAAGTAATTTCCTCTTTAGAAATTTACTCTAAGGAAATCTTTACTTATAAAGATCTTCAACAAGTATTTTTACGATATAAACATGTTGGCAATAGCAAATACCTAATAAAAGTATTGATTAAACAAATATGGAACATCCACACAAGGCAACACTAGATAGCTAATGAAAATGTGTTGTGGAGGCCCTCTTTTATTAATATGGAAATATTCACAATGTTTTATGTTTTACTTTGTTTCTAGTTTATTTTTAAATTTATTTTTATTAGTTACAGGTTTGCAGTACATAATGTTTACATTCACTGTGGGGAGTTGGTACATGATATGGCACAAAAAGTATTGTTTTGCTTTTTAAAGGCATTTATAAAACCATAGATGACATAATCTTGTGTTTTGAAAAAACATATTTAGGGAAAGACATACAATAAACTTTTCAAGTTATTTATTTCTAGCTGATGAGTTTATTGGTGACTTTAATTTTTTTCTTTTCTGGTATTACTTCCTCAAGTGAATATTCCAGTTATGTGATTTTAAAACAGTAAAGTAGAAAGGCCATACTTCCCAAACTGTAATACAGATCTAATGCAATTCTGATCAGAATTCCAATAGCATATCTCATAGAATTAGAGAAAACAATCCTAAAATTCATTTGGAACCAGAAGAGACCTAGAAAAGTAAAGGCAATTCTGGGCAACAAAGGCAAGACAGGAAACATCACGATCCCTAACTTGAAATTTTGAAATTATATCAGAAAGCTACTGTGATAAAAAAGCATGGTACTGGCAAAACAAACAAATAGACTCAAAGATCAGTGGGACAAATTAGAAGATACAGAAATAACTCTGGACATACTCAGCCAGTTTATCTTTGACAAAGTTGTCAAACATATTCATTGGAAGAAAGATAGCCTCTTCAATAAATGGTGCTAGAGGGGCTGGGGGTTTAGCTCAGCGGCATAAACACCTGCCTTGCAAGTGCACAGTTGTGAGTTCGATCCCTGGTACAAAAAAAAAGTGCTAGAAAAGTGCTCATGTTGAAAATTTAAAGTTGGACTCATCTTTCACCATGTACTAAACTATATCTGAAATGAATCAAAGATCTAAATATTAAAACAAAAACATTAAATCTGCTGGGAGATAGAATAGGTAAAACTCTCAAAAACACTAGTGTAGGCAAAGACTTTATGAATAAACCTCGATTGCACAAGAGCTATCACAAAGAATCTATAACTGAGATCTCATTAAAAAGTTTTTGCACAGCAAAAGAAACCACCAACAGACTGAAGATACAACCCAAAATGTGGGAAAAAATGTTTGCCAGTTGTTCCTCAAACAAAAGATTACTATCAAGAATACATAAAGAACTCAAAATAATCAGACCTCCCAAATTTAAAGACCCAATCCAAAAATGGGCATCTGAGATGAATACATACTTTTCAGATAAAAAAATACAACTGCAAGTAAATATATGAAAAAATGTCAACATCACTAGTCATTTGATAGGTACAAATTAAAATGACACTCAGATTCCATCTCACTCTGGCAAGAATGGCTATTATTAAGAAATCATTCAGCAACAATTGCAGGAGAGGCTGTGGGGAAAAAGGAATGCTCCTCCACTGTTAGTGGAAGTGTAGAGTGGTACAAACACTGTGGAAATCAGTATAGAGATTTTCAAAAAATTAGGATTGGAGGTCCCATTTGACCCAGATATTCCCTGCTGGGTATCTTCCCAGAACTAAAAACCTCAGTGATATATATGTGCACCATGTTTATAGCAGCACAATTTGGAATAGTTAGATCTTAGAAACAACCCAAATGCCCATCAATGGAGGAATGGATAAAAAAAAATACGGTCTTTTAATATAATGGAGTACTACTCAGCCAAAAAGAAGGATAAACTGGAGTCTTTTTTTAGGTAAATGGATGCAACCCAAGACCATATCATAAGTGAAATAAACCAGACATACATGTGTAAACATCATATTATCTCCCTAGTATGAGAAGCTGAAAGAATAAATAAGATCCAAAATGTACACTAGATATTGTAAAATGGGAAGAAACTGTTCAAAAGGAAAGAGAAATTGGGATGGGGAAGAGAAAAAAAAAAGAAGAAAAACAGGAAAAAATACACACACAGGATTGTTAAGATAGTTACACTACTAATTTCTCTTAGTTCATTGGAAAGAAAGGTTTGTGATAATATTGTTTAGGCAATTAGATGCTTATTTTGTACTCTAAAGACAACAATATGCAATATATAACAATTGTTACTCTCCTATAATCTTTTTTTGAAAATTTGGTGGTTTTTCCTCTTTAAAATAAAATTTAGGAAAAATAAGAAAATAAAGTAAAATTCATATAATATATGCCACTGGCAAGTTTTCACCAGAAGACTAGTCTATTCATGTTTGATAGAAATGGGTCTTACTCCTTCCCCAAAACACTAACCCTCAGACAATTCTGAAGGAACCACATGCCAGAGTCTGAGTTAGAACTCAAGATCTTGTCATCCTGGTACTAACTTCAGACATGACAATAATATTTTTTAAAATATTTGCTTATACATTTGTAAGTGAGAAGAGCTTGGAATAAACACCTTTTAAGATTTTCTCAGCCCAGTGATGTCATGAATCTAACAGACAACACTGATAAAGCTGATCAACAAATGGCAGGAGCTACTGGACACACAGAAAAGCTTTGCCTCTCTTCACCACTTTCCAAGCCACTTTTATTCAGACTCAGAATACTGGAAACCTGATGCTTTGGGTAGGCCGGAAATGGGCATAAAGACCCAGCAGTGAAGAGTTTTGGAGCAAACCCTTTCAGGCATGTGAAGGATAAACTTATTGTGTAGCCTAAAAGATAAACCTTCCCCTGGTACAAAGGGTTCTTTTATTTCTTGTGCCCAAAGCCAGGTGGCAGCGCCCCTCTGCTCTTCCCCAGCCTTTGCCTTCTTCTCTAATCCAGATACCTAGAGTACAGCCCAGGGAAGGGCGTTTCCGTCACTCACCGACTCAGTGAATGATGGGTTTGAAAAGCTGCACAAAATAAACATGGTGTTGGGTGTCAGCTGAGAAATCAAAGTAAGAGAACTTGTACAAAGCTCCTCTTTAAACAGTTTTCATTGTCATTTTCCTCCTCTGTTCAGTGTTCAGCTTTGATGTAGAATTGGGTAAAGCCCTTAGAAAAGAACTGTTTATTACCAGTGTCAAAGCCATTTTGAAAAGCATCAGAATAGCTTAATAAAGAGCAACCATATTCATGCTTACTTCTGTGCAGGGCTAAAATGAAAAGACTGGACTCTGATGTGATAATAATCAACAATTTCAGTTACCCTTTTTAAAGTATAAACTGGAAATTCAGGTCTGGTACATTCCATCAAATCAAAGGAGAGTGTTGCAGCTAACCAAGACTAAGGAGAAAGGTATATTTACTGGTATGTTTCTGGGAGAATGTGAGCAGACATGGTGCTATTAGGGGGAAAAAAAGATTTTTAAAAAATGAGTTTCATGGCGGCTGGGGATTTAGCTCAGCGGCATAAGCGCCTGCCTTGCAAGCCAACAGTCATGGGTTCGATCCCTGGTACCCATAAAAAAAAGAAAAAGACAAAAAAAAAAAAATAAATTTCATATAAATTAACTCTCATTGGAAATTTAAATTTTTCCTAAAAGTCAGACTGAAAAGCAGCTCTTTTGAGAAGACTTGCTTAGTAATTCAAACCAACAGAGTAAGTAATAGAATAAACTAACAGCCTACTACCAAGAGAAACTTTATGGGGCTGGAGTATAAGTAGGTGATAGAGCACTTATCTCACAATCGCAAGGGCCAGGGTTTAATTTCCAGCACTGAAAGGAGAATGAGGAGGGAAAGGTTAGAATAAGGTGGAAAGAGATGAGGGGAGGAGGAGGTAGCCTGCATATAATCCCTGTCACTTGGAAGGCTGAAGCAGGAAGATCTCCTGTTTAAAACCAGTCTGGGCAATTTAGCAAGATTCTGTCACAAAAAAATGAAAGGAAGGGAGGCAAGGAAGGAAAGGGAGGGAGGGAGAAAATGGTATATATATATATATATATATATATATATATATATATGTATATATGAATAAGAGAAAAATATCTATGAAAAAATATTTCTCTTTCTAAACATTTTACTCAACTCAATCATTCCTATGAATAGAAAGAGTAGAGAAAAATAATATACTAGACATAGAATAAGGTTATTTTTTTTTTGGACCGGGGATTGAACTTACAACCTTGCACTTGCCAGGAAGGTGCTTATGCCACTGAGCTATGTCCCTAGCCCCTAATTTTTATTTATGCAAAAAATTAATATGTATAACTTCAAAAATGAGAGAATTGGTTAATGACAATTGGGAGCATTGTAACTTCAATAATAAAATACAAAAGATAGAAAAAGGGGAAGTAGCACATATAAAATGATGGGACTTGGTGGGGAGAGTTTTTCGGGAAAGAGGTAAATAGGAGACTTTAAACAGTAAATATCTGCAGAATTTGAGAAATTTTTGTCACATGCACATAATAACAATTTTTAAAATATACTAGTAACTATGGGGCAATGGTCAGTTGATACAAGTTAGAACAGAAGGAAGGAGGTGAAGATGCAAGGATAAAGAAAACATGGCCTGCAGGCCCAGTGACTGTAAGTCAACCATGAGGACTCCTATGTGTTAGCAAAGGTATGTGGAAGGCAGAAGGTAAACAAAACAGATCTTGCAGTGCAGGAATATATGTGTTGGGTCAGCTGGGTCAACAGTGCCATATGGTTAAGATGCCAGTGGACAGCAGAAACAGATACAGCATGGAGCTCAGCAATAGTTTTCCCTTGTCCTAATGGCTCAAGTTTTTGTTTTGTCTTAATAATGATTCAGTTCAACACACTGCTAAAGTATGAGTTATTTTACAGTGATCTTGGATATAAATATCTAAAAGCTACAAACAAAACTGCTTAGAATTTTTGCTGTTGTTCCTATATACCAGTGATTCTTAACTTGTTTTTGATCACTGATAACTTTTAGAATCTGATTAAAATCACAGATCATTTCAAGCAAATCATGAATATATATTTGAAGCACCATGAATGTGAAATCAAGAGCTCCTAGAAATCAAGTACATTGGTGAGCACAGGTAGTCTCAGGTACTAAGGAGCTTGAGGCAGGAGAATCACTGAGTTTGAGATCAGCCTGGGCTATGTAGTGAACTCAAGGCTAGCCTCAACTACATGGTGAAACCCTATCTTAAAAAAACAAAAACAAACAAACAAGCCGCTGCTAAAGTCAATCTTTTCTGTTTTTTTTTTTTTTTTTTTTTTCCCTGACACAGGGTCTCACTCTGTAACCATTCAGGTTGGCAGTGAATTCACTTTGTAGCCCAGGCTGGCCTTGAACTCATGCACCCTCTGCTTCAGCATCCTGATTGCCAGGATTACAGGTGTACATCACCATGCCCAGCTATCACCTCCTTTCTCAGAGATGAGTAAATGATCAGAGAGGGCATGAATGCTAAAATTAAGGCAGTTAAAAGAAAGCAGTAGACAGTGGGAGAGAAAAGAGAGAGGGAGACAGATAGACAGAGACAGATAGACAGAGACAGAGAGACAGACAGAGAGACAGAGCTATGAGGGGGCAATTTTTAAACTAGTATCAAGAAATAAGTGCAACTCATGATGTATCATGATTTTTTGAGTTGGCCAAAAAGAAATAAGGAAGGTCTCTCTGGTCATGAGCAGGATTGGAAGGAGTTGGAAGAGACCACAGATTTTAACCACTATGGCCCCATCTTACCTGCAATAGTTATGTTCGCCTAGGCCACCCTCCCCATTGGGGTATTTCAGAGTATTATATGGATGCTGGAAAGTCTCGTTCCAGAATAAACATGGCTTCCCGCCTTGCAGTGCTGTCCAGTTCTGAGTTCCCCTGTAATCTGCACCATTGGCTGTGAAACACTCTAGGAAAAAGAAAAGACAGAGCATACTAATTTTCTGGCAACATTTGAAGTCTCCACCCTCCCTGGTTGATGTTTCATGTTTTGTTTGGACCAAGATAGAATTGGACAATATCTTGCTGGATGCTGGACACCATGCAGTTAACAGTGCTGGGGTACGTGAATCTAAAACAAGGTCCTGAAAATTTGAGACTAATCTTGGCACTAGCCTGTAGGAATAGTAGGACATTTCTTCCTAAAGTTTATAGATCATAACTAGGGAGCACAACGTATTGAAGCTCAAGAAGTACACCAGGAAACCCCTAAACTGAGAACAGTCAATAACAGCCATGCATTTGGAATTCTGGGTACTTGGAGGGGTCACTGTTCTTGCCATTGTCTCAGCATGGTAACTAGAACCAGGTCAGCAGCTGTAACTGAGCTCTCCCCTACAGTCTGAAAAGCTGCACTGACACTTGGATTTAATAAGATCACTGGATTCAGCAATTCTTTGGAATCCCAATCACAGAAATCTGGGAATGACTCACATTCCCTGGTAATGAGGAACAGTCCTATCCATGCTGTCTAAAATAGAGGTGCAACAAAACAGGCAGTCAATCCCAGGGAACAAGGGCTAGAGCCGCACTTTTTCTTACCCCTTTCTGAAATTCTTTCCCATAGGGTGCATAAAAATGGTCTCAGGTCTAATTTCATAAGATGACAAATCCTTGCAGGTATAATCATGTGCTTCTAAAATCTGCTTTTCAGACTTTGGGGGGATGGGCACTGAGGCTGACAGGCTTTCCCCCACATATTGTATGCATTAAGCTCACAGAGGTTCATGAAAGAGGCACAGTACAAAGAGAAATTTTAAAAAATTAGCTTAGTTGAAACTGACAGAAGCACTTCAAACACTCCTTTAAGATGTTTCACTAGAAACTTGACAATCTGGGGGAGTTAGACTAATAATCTTAGCTTTATTTTTTTCCTTCTCCTGGCACACGATGACCTGTAACTTTTGGTATTGAGAATTCTAACATCATCTTCCACTGGAGAGTATATATACAAATTGTAGCCTAGTAGGTTTGTGGGCAATATGAACACAAGTATCCTGGAAGACATTTCTTTTAATAGTTAAAAACTAGCCAGGGAACATGTCTTCCAATATACCCTTCCTTCCACCATCCAGCCCCTGTCATTTGTCTGGAATGGCAGTGTTTTTCTGGATAGACAAAATAATTTGGAATTCTAGGCTACATAGAAAACCCTACAAATAAAATATCATATATAGTATAACACTCCTCTTATAATAAGTGCAACTCATGATGTACCATGATTACTATCTACCAACAGTCTACAAAAAAGATGCCAAAGGTAACTACAGGAGGCAGCTCAGCTTAGCATAACATACACTAAACCAAGAGACCGGGCCTTGGCTTCTATTCTTGCACTTGCTGCTAACTAGCTATGTGTCCTTGAGCAAATCACCACCATAGCATCCGTTCTAATATTTACATAGGGTTTTACTGTGTGCCAAGTCTTGTACTAACAGCTTACAAAAGTTCACTTACCACCAATCCTGTAGAAAGGAACCCTTAAATATGTTCTACAAAGGAGGCAACCAGGGCACTTGACCACATCCTATGTCTAGCAGAATCCTTCAGTGTCATCCTTACATGCCCAGCACTCCTTTACCCCATTTTCATCTCATTAATAAGTCCTGTTGACTCTAAATATTTACCCTGAAACTGCCTTCCCCTCCTCATCTTCAGAGCCAGCATCTGAGTCCCACTTATCATCAGAGAACAGTTCAGGTCCCACAGTTCCCTTTTTTGATCTACAATCCATTCGCCATACAGAACTCAAAGACAGGAGGAGAACAAAAGCTCTCAGAACAAAACCCAAACTCTTCATCGGCATTTGTGAGGCCTCTTCCCCTTTCTTCCCATGGTAGCCACTATACTGGTCTTCTTTTAATCCTGTGAACACACCATGCTATTTCCTGCCCACATGTTCTTCCTCTAATACTTCCCACTGTAGATTGTTACCTCCTCTAAAAGCCAACCTATCTTTTCTACTCTTTTTTTTCTCACCTTTATTTACTTCACAGAACTTACTAGCATGAGGAACATATGATCAGCCTTCTGTATCTAGAGGTTCCTCACTCATCAATTCAAAAAATTATGGATGGAACATATTCAGGAAAATAACTGCCTGTATTGAACATGTGCAGACATTTTTCCATGTTATTATTTCCTAAGCAATATAACAAATATTTAGACAGCATTTCATTGAATTAGGTATTATAAGTAATCTAGATATGATTTAAAGTATACAAGAGGACACATATGGATTACATACAAATACTATGCCATTTTATATAAGGAACTTGAGACTATCAGTTGAATTTAGTGTCCCTTGGGTCCTGGAACAAATATCCCTGGGACACTATGGTACTGATAAAAACGAAAAAGACAAAAAAAAAAAAAAAAAAAAAAAAAAAAAAAAAGACTATTTATTGAGAGCAAGAGCAACACAGAATAAAAGACAGAGAGAATAAAATATAAATGAATGTGGTAGGTATCACATCAGAGCCTTACCCCAATCACAAGGCTAGAAACCCAAGCTAGATAGAGTGGGACCTGGGAACCTGTATTTCTAAAAAGCTGCCAGGTGATTCTGCTTCATTACCAGATTTGGAAGTCATTAGACTAGATATTTGTTTTACTTTTTGGTGGTGCTAGGAAGCAAAACTGGGGCCTTATGCATGGTAGACAAGAGCTTCATCATTGAGCCATATTCCTGGCCTTAGACTAGACAATTCTGAGAATATCAAGCAAATCTTTGCCAATTGCTAGAATTTTAACTGTCATGTGTCAATACAATCTGTTCTTACACATCAAAACATCAGGTTGTATGCTTTAATTATAATAAAATAAAAAGTGAATTTCAGAAGAAAATGATAAGGAGTGACCCAGGAGCCAGAAATGCAGGCCAATCAATGCGCAGCCTTGGCAATACACAGCAACATGTTCCCAGAGGCTCAGATGACTTGATTTGTAATACAAAGGAATGTGGCAGCCATCCACACATGTGCCAGTCCTCATGAATGGGGATGAAATGTCATCTGAGAGCAGGAATGGGAAAGAGCAGGCCTGTTTGTTTCAGTCTGTTCCTCAGACCTAATCTTATTCTCAATTCCACTGGGGAAACTGAGGCAGTGTATTATATTTTAATCATTTTATGTTTATTTACCAAACTTGCCAGTAACTATCAATTGTGGAGAAAAAGCAAGAAAAACAAATGCTGTGATGGTGAACCTCTGATATGTATGCCACAGAGAGCACACACAGCCCTCTAAACAATGAAGTCATGAATTGTATGAGTTGTTTTTTCTAAACTAAAACCTGTGTTCAGCTTTAATTTCAGTGTTGGCACTTTGCAATAATAAGCAAGTTTTGGGTTGCAGTTTGGGCATTGAGTGTCTAAAAGGTTTGCCATCATTGAATTACAGTATTCTGGATGAAAGTTATTTGGGCATCTTGAATGCATCATAACACTAGGATGTGTACTAGGTAATGAGGACCTTGCCTTTCTTGTTTTCTACTGCTATGAAATACAAGCTTTGTCTATATAAGAAATGGTTTAACCTATAGGGGAAAAAAGGAAAACTTACATGGCCCTTTGTATAATCACATATTCAGAGAAAGAGAATAAGCGAAGGTATAAACCTAATATGTAGCCTACTATTCATTAATTCATCAAATATTTATTTAGTACTTTGCATGTGTCTGACTCTTCACAGAACTGGGACCACAGTGATGAACAAGGACCCTGTCCACTACTCATGAAGCTCACATGCTAATATGGGAGAGCCATGCATACTAAACCAATCAAAATTAACATCAGGTAAGTGCTATAAGAAAAGATGATCTTGGAGAAGAGCAGGTATCTGAATTGAGATGTAGATGAAGGGAGGAAGCAAACTCTATGAACTGAGAAGGACACAGCGAGCACAAATGCTTGGCAGAGTTGAAGAACTATAAAGTTGCTCCTCTTACGTGACTGAAGGGGGCTATTATGTAGGGAAGGGCAGGCAAGGCCAGGACTGCAAGGGTCTTCAGGGTTATGTAAACATGATTTTTGCTTTTGCTCTAAGTATGAGGAGACACCATTTGCAAGGTTTTTGTTTTGCTGTTTTGTTTTGTTCTGCTTTGGTTTTTTGGAGTTATGGATAGAACCTAGGGCCTCACGCTTGGCAGACAAGTGTTCTGCCACTGAGCTATACTCCCAGCCCTTTGGAAGGGTTTGAGCACAGAAATCACATAATTTGACTTATTTGAGGGTGTTTTGTTTTGGTGAGTGTTTTGTTTGTTTAATTGTTTGGGAGGTACTGGGGTTGCACTGAAATGTATCTCCAGCTCTTTTTAAAATGTTTTACACAGGTAAGAGTCTAGCTTTTGGGAAGAAGAAATACAGAGAGGCAAAAATTAGGCCAGTTAGAGGGTTACCAGAGAAAGACAGCTAGAAGGAATGCTAAAATCCTAGGTTCTATTTTGTTGTCTTTTGATTTTCTGAGACAGGGTCTTACTATGTAGTCTAGGCTGGCCTTGAACTCATGATGTAGCCCAGACTGGTCTCAAATTCATGATACTTCTGCCTCAGCTTGCCAATCATCAGGATTATAGGCACACATCACTCTGCTGGGCTTATAGCATTTTTTTAGTGATGGGCATTGAACACAGAGCCTCATCTAAACCCACATCACTTTGTGAGAACCAATGGAAAACAAACTAAACCCACTTGTAGTAATAATAAGTATAAAAACCATAAAAGACTTCTGGATTATAAAAAATTTAAAACTATAATAAGGTGTTCTTTTAAATAATTAAACTTGACATGTATGAAACAGTGATAGGAAGTAGCAATTAATCTAAGTAACATTCCATTCTTTAATAAAGTTGAATATAGTATCCAAGAAGAGGTATAACAAGGTTATTCCTAATTACAATGCTAGAGTTTGG